TGGATTGTGGCACGACGCTTTTACTAGGCAACTTTAAGGCTTCCAGTTGTCTGCTCTCTAAGAAATTTGTGTTTCGGTGTGTCTTTGGACGAAAGTCGAAAAAACTTATTTCTGTGGTCTGATTCTAAGTCGCTCTTCAAACTACTTGTTCTTGGTTGAAGAAGAGTCCAGAAGTGTGCGTGAATCTTGGTCAGCTATCTTGACGCGGTTTCAACACTGGGCGCTCATCTCTGCTTGTCGTCCACGGCTGAACTCTTTCACCGTCCGCGGCTCAACTCAAACTTCTTCTCTTCAGAGTCTGAATTACTGGTCACTCATCTCCGCCGTCGGTGCGCGAACTAACTTCTTCTCTTCGGCTTGGGTCGGACGAACTTCTTCACTTAGGCCAAACGAACAGGCCTCTCTTGCCCGCAAAGGGGCGAACGAACCTGGCCCGCCGTCCGCGGCTCAAACTCAAACTGATTTCTGTCGGTTGGGGTTTCGCTTTTATTGACGCAGTCAAAACTGGGGTGGGCCTGGGTGGGTTTTTCTTCGATAATTCTAAATACGTATCCACCCTTCTTATTTCTGGTTAGGGATTTTCCATTTTCGGTAACTCACTCTCACTCCCACTTCCTTACTGTGCCTCTGAGGGGCGTATACCCGCTTCCCCGCTTCTTCGTATCGGCTCCTTACACTTACACTTCTGACAGTGGCGTCGACCGATTCTCCTCGTGCGTTACGTGACCGCTCTCGGCCAATGAGGTCCTGGTCGGGTATCTTTCCTCCTCCTTCGTGTGCCATGTGATCTTATTTAGCCAATGACGTCTTTAGTCGGGCGTGGACAATCCGTGGCTTTGTTTTGGGGAAAGAAACACCTTGCTTAAAAAACAAAAATATTAATTTAAATCGCCCTTATCATGAGCGACTGGGATGACACCTTCGGCTTTTTAACACGTGGTATTTGTCAAGCAGTTTATCGCTAATTGGATATGACCTAAGAAAGGGATTTCTCAGACCTGTTGGCGTTTTTGAACGAAATAAAAATATTTCATTTTCCTCCGCCCGAAGGTCCGATAATAAAAATCTTTATTATCTCAAAAAAAAAAAATTTCAGCGACATCATCTTGTGTGGCTTTTTCCAATTCTGGAGACTGTCTGGGTTTTCGTATTAATGGTTTGCCTTCATATCCTTAGATACACTTCCCCACCCACTTAGACCTTTACTATCACTCCAATGACACACTTTCCACTTGTTACTTATCAATATTTTCATTGTCCCTAAACTTCGTTTCTTCTTTTCCTCTTGGGTGACAACCAATTGATAACAACTTCCATTTTTCGTGGATTCCGTGAAAATCGGTCAGATGCTTGACCCGGATATTTTTCGACACCTGTTATCTGTCAGCCGTGCGAGTGTGCGCTCGCCTATGATCTGTTTTCGTATTATTTTTTCTTTCTTTCTTCTTCGTTTTCTCTTTCCTTCTTCCAGATCGCTTGAATGTAAAGAAAGAATTATTCTTAAAACCCAAAATATTTTTCGGCCCTAAATAATTATTAAATGGTTGATAAATCGTAAAAAACAAATCATATATCTATGAATATTTCTTTTCAGCTCGTCAGGTATGCATGGTGCCACCCAAGAAAGAGACTGCTAATGACTGATTATGTTGGTAACCACCCAATAAGACTGAACATTGCATCAAATCAGTTACCGATTAAACATTGTTGCTACTCAACCCATCATTCAACACACTCTATGGAATTTTGCTGCCGTCACTCAACAAATATCACCTTAGTGGAACTACACCATCGGTTACTGTCACTCAAGTGGGTTAAAGAACATCGGATTGGGGACAATTGGTACTATATCGCCAAGTCAGACGAACTCCGTTTCTAGCTGTTTCAAACACAGTCGAGTTCCTGCGCGGAGGAAACCGCATTAAGCTATGGTTCCAGGCTGTCAGCAAGGTGTTCTGCAAGTTGACCGAGCTTTTGTAACACTGTTGGGTATAATCTGCTGTAATTCACAAGGATCACAAATGAAACTGTCATCTCTTTTGACCAGTATGACATGCGTAGATCTGGTTGCGAACAGATTTCGTCCTTGTTCGTTAAATTTACTCTTGCTCAAAATATCGCAATTCTCCCAATCGGGCACGGGTGACCTGAAACGTTTTAGGTTTACTCGCCTCACATTCTGAAATCCCCTTGCTCTACGCGCTCACCAGATATAAACTCCATTGAACATGTACGAAGCATATTGTAAATATATTTAAATTGTTGCACTCAACAAGCAGAAGTTTTATGGAGAGTCTTGGAACGTACTCTTATCGATATACTGACATACTGACTTACCATCTCGCTTAACCGCCGTTATTCAAGCGAAGGAAGAAACTAAACGTTATTATTCCGTCAATTAAGTGCTATACGTGATATACGCTTGGGTGATCATATCTCTTTCATTTCATGATCAATTAGAGAATTTTCCCGCAAAAGGCTGTCGTTTCTTTCTGCAGTAGACTGGTTGCCAACCAAGGCTATATGAACCAGTCTGTCATGCTATTCAGCTCATATATAGTGGCGGGAAAGAAGAAATGGATTCATACATTCCCACGGGTATTTATGTGTAAGTGAATATAACAAACCCGATCAGAATTCGAAATCTCGTCCTGGGTAAGACGATAAACTACGTCCAACAGCGAGGCCTCTGATCCGGAGGTTTTGGGGAGCGTGGAACCACCTCTTAATTGCTGGTGTTCCCAGGTCCATCCTGACTCAGGGTGGAAGCACCTGTTATGGTCCCAGCTATGGGCAAATAGTTAAATATTACCAGCAATACTTTTTTTAAAAAAAAATTATTACCAGCAATACAATTTTGAAGGAAAAAGATTACCAGCAAAAGTTTTTTGACAAAACAAAATATTACAGCAATAAAAAATGTTGTCGGCATTAAATAACCCACTGAGGTTGATATGCCGTAAAACAAAATAAACCAAACCAATCTAAAGCAAAGAATTCATATTCTATTCATACGAATCTATCCTAAAAATGTTGTCGGCATTAAATAACACATTGAGGTTGATATGCCTTAAACAAAATAAACCAAAACATCTAAACCAAAGAATTCCTATTCTATTCATACGAATCTATCCTAAAAATGTTGTTGGCATTAAATAACCCATTGAGGTTGATATGCCGTAAAACAAAATAAACCAAACCAATCTAAAGCAAAGAATTCATATTCTATTCATACGAATATATCCTAAAATGTTGTCGGCATTAAATAACCCATTGAGGTTGATATGCCGTAAAGCAAAATAAACCAAACCAATATAAAGCAAAGAATACATATTCTATTCATACGAATCTATCCTAAAAATGTTGTCGGCATTAAATAACTCATTGAGGCTGATATGCCGTAAAACAAAATAAACCAAACCAATCTAAAGCAAAGAATTTATATTCTATTCATACGAATCTATCCTGAAAATGTTGTCGGCATTAAATATCCTATTGAGGTTGATATGCCGTAAAACAAAATAAACCAAACCAATCTAAAGCAAAGAATTCATATTCTATTCATACGAATATATCCTAAAAATGTTGTCGACATTAAATAACTCATTGAGTTTGATATGCCGTAAACAAAATAAACCAAACCAATCTAAAGCAAAGAATTCATATTCTATTCATACGAATCTATCCTAAAAATGTTGTCGACATTAAATAACTCATTGAGGCTGATATGCCGTAAAACAAAATAAACCAAACCAATCTAAAGCAAAGAATTCATATTCTATTCATACGAATCTATCCTAAAAATGTTGTCGGCATTAAATAACCCATTGAGGCTGATATGCCGTAAAGCAAAATAAACCAAACCAATATAAAGGAAAGAATACATATTCTATTCGTACGAATCTATCCTAAAAATGTTGTCGGCATTAAATAACTCATTGAGGCTGATATGCCGTAAAACAAAATAAACCAAACCAATCTAAAGCAAAGAATTTATATTCTATTCATACGAATCTATCCTGAAAATGTTGTCGGCATTAAATATCCTATTGAGGTTGATATGCCGTAAAACAAAATAAACCAAACCAATCTAAAGCAAAGAATTCATATTCTATTCATACGAATCTATCCTAAAAATGTTGTCGACATTAAATAACCCATTGAGGTTGATATGCCTTAAACAAAATAAACCAAACCATCTAAACCAAAGAATTCATATTCTATTCATACGAATATATCCTAAAAATGTTGTCGACATTAAATAACTCATTGAGTTTGATATGCCGTAAACAAAATAAACCAAACCAATCTAAAGCAAAGAATACATATTCTATTCATACGAATCTATTCATTACACCCCACCACGCATCCCAAACATTCGGATTACTATGTCGAATTATTGGCAATTAGATTTCTTTTCTTAACGGGAATGTTTAAGTTCATCATGAAAGGAAGCTTCTGGTATTCAGTAAGCAGCTAATTTTCCATCGGACATTCGACCTTGTTTCTGACTGTCAAGATGTCTTTTGACTGGTTCAAGTCATTTTGGTAATAATAATTTGGAAGTGGCAGACATCTGTAATTTTAATTCTCTTTGGACAGCCATGCGATGAGACAGGAAGAAGTTCTCTTCAACTGTTATCACCTAGCCACCCGTAAAATGTTGATGCGAACACCGATTAAACTGACATTTATTTCTGAACCAACCAATATAACAAGTTCGTTTAGGCCCACTAGATGCATCGTAATTAACGAAACCGCCTTCGAATGTGGATTATTATCTTCATTAAAAATACACCATCCCTACAAATGTCAACACCTTGATTAATAATCTTTATTTCTCTTCAAATTATATCGTCCTTGTCCTCGGCTCTCGGCTACACTGTTTGCCTCACTATAAGACACGTCAGTGTCAGCAGTCACCATCGGAAGGATCTTCCTATTTCGAAAAGGAACCAATATCGAAACAGGAAAGCATTTTATTCTCCTCTCTATCGTTCCTAGTCAGTGCGCTTAGATATTAAAGTCCGGAGGAAATATCCTTTTGCCCGGTCAGCGGTGATGCCATCTGCATCTATTCTTTGGCAAGAAGGTGTTTCATGACAGCAGGACGGCCTCTGACACAAGCCCGTTCAATCACGCCGATCGACCCCTTTAGCCGCTCAGGCGACCGCTCAGCATGTTCCGCCTCTGGCAACACACACACAGAAAGTGTGTGAGAGTTTTAATATTCTTTTCAAAATTATACATTCCCATGTGTGGGCAAAGGTTTAAAAATAGAAGAGATATACAAAGAATGGAAAGGAAGGCTCAAATATAACAATTTAAAAAAAAGTGCAAAGACAGAAGGAAAGGAACCCTTTTGAATACATTTTTAAAGTAGAGAAAAATGGAGAGAATGAAGTAAAAATGCCAAAGAAATAAAATACGATAACAGAGAAGGGAAAGAAACTGAAATAAAAAGGTGAGAGAGAGAAAGAAAGAAAGAAAAGAAAGAAAGGAAGGAAGGAAGGAAGGAAGGGAGTAAGGAAGGAAGGAAAGAAGGAAGGGCGTAAGGAAGGAAGGAAGGAAGGAAGGAAGGAAGGAAGGAAGGAAGGAAGGAAGGAAAGGAGGAAGGAAGGAAGGAAGGAAGGAAGGAAGGAAGGAAGGAAGTAAGGAGGAAGGAAGGAAGGAAGGAAGGGAGTAAGGAAGGAAGGAAAGAAGGAAGGGAGTAAGGAAGGAAGGAAGGAAGGAAGGGAGGATGGAAGGAGGGAAAGATGGAAAGAGGGAAGGAAGGAAAAATGAAGGAAGGAAGGAAGGAAGGAAGGAAGGAAGAAGGAAAGAAGGAAGGAAGGAAGGAGGGGAAGGAAGGGAGGAAGGAAAGAAGGAAGGAAGAAAGGAAGGAAGGGGGGAAGGAAGGAAGGAAGGGGGAAGGAAGGAAGGAAGGGAGGAAGGAAGGAAGGAAGGGGGGAAGGAAGGAAGGAAGGGAGGATGGAAGGAAGGAAAGATGGAAAGAGGGAAGGAAGGAAAAATGAAGGAAGGAAGGAAAAAGACAAAAGTCAAAGCCCTAGACGGAAACTGTTTAAAAATTGCTAAGCAAGCAAACGAGAGTTGATATTTACTTGATCCCGCACCGAGTCAGGTTGTGACACAAGGTCGGTTTTTATCGTGGGGACCCGAGAGTTTTCACTTGGGCCGCTGGTATGAAAAAAAAGATGCTCCCAGTACAATATTTAAAATAAATAAATAAACTGTCATTTATTTTGTTCTAACTAAATAGAAACCTTCCAGGAGTTAACATGCGAAGATTTCGTATACAAACCAAGGATTTTATTAGTTAAAACAACAATATTCACAGAAAATATATAATCAATAGAAATCGATTTCTGCATCAGCGAGATTCAGTCAGTTATGTGCCATGCGTGATACACGCCTAGGCGATCATGTATCTTTCGATACATGACTGACGAGGCAGATTTTTTTTAGCAGTATGTTGCCATTTCTTTCTGCGGTAGACCAGTTACCATATAAGGCTATCTGTCCTGCTATTCACCCATAGCTGGGGGAGAAGAAGATGATCCATACATTTCCCAAAGGTATTAGTACTTAGATTAGAAATTCGAACTCGACTCTCCGATTCCTCATTGCGAGCCGCTACCCATTAGTCCACAATACCTCCCCTCAACGAGATTACGGAAATAGTAACTATGACTGCGGCGACTTACCAGAAGTCCCTAGCAGATCCATCTTCCTACAGGAAAGAAAGCTTAATAACATTGACACTTACGGGACATATCGAAATCAAGAGAGGCACTGTGAAACCTACTTAACGAGCTTGTGTAAATTGATGGCAGAATGATAGTATCTCCACAATTTCCTGTCCTTTGTAAGGACAGGAAATTGTGGAGAGACATGATCGCCCACGATCTGAAGGGACAAGGCAAATAGAAGAAGATTCACAGAATAATAATAGTTAAAGGCTCAGTAAGAAGTGCAATTACTTACTAAGACAAATAATAATCGGGCGACGAGGACAGGCATAGCATGATTCTGGCAGCCCGTTGTTCGAAGCCTTCACGTGGGAGGTGTAAGCAAGGTGGCCGTCACGTTGCGCTCCTGTAACTACTCATCATCTCGTGGCCTACTTGCGCGACCAGGCGGACCATTTTCAAGGAGGGGCACTGTCTGCCTCGCATAGGAAGGGGCCTATAAAAGGTGGCCTAAAAGATGCTGGTTCCAATTCAACTGGCCAGGAGACCGCACTTGGTTGGTCGTCCCTTATCGCAGTCGACGAAGAAAATTGAAATGTTTTGTTCTTGTTATCTGGAATATACGAACCCTACTGGACTGTCCCGATCATAGTAGAGCACACCGAAGAACTGCGCTGATCGCATCTGAATTCAAGCACAACCATGGAGATATCGATGCACTCAGCGAAACAAGATTCCCCGATGAAGGTTCTCTAACCGAGGAGGGCGAAGGATATACATACTTCTGGGAAGGTCTTCCCGCCAGAGAAAGTCGAGTCCATGATGTTGGAGTCGCAGGTCGCTCAACGCTTCTAAAGAACCTCTCTTCTCTTCCAAATGGGCACAGCAAAAGTCTAGACCATCAGAATTCCTCTCTCCAATAATGTCTACGCAACCGTTTTCAGTGTGTATGCCCCGACAGGGATGGTGATCAAGGATGCTTTCTACGAATCTCTCAACACAGCCCTGCAAGCGGTACCTCTGAAAGAAAAAATCATCCTCCTTGGAGATTTTCTAAAAAAAATGTTTCTAAATTTAAAATGATTTTCTTAATTACTCGTGTTCAGTATTTGTAGCTTATTGGCAAACAGAAGAAAGTTTAAGGTTTTTGAAATCTCTAAATGAAAAATTATTCCATGGAACTTATTCTTACCTCTTTCCTTAATTTCAAGCAAGAAGAAATGTCTCCTCTCCATAAAGGTCAGTCTACATTATGTGTAAGGAACAAATAAAAGAAAACGTTTTTTACCATTTATATTTGACGAGAGACTGTGATTAAAAACAATATGTCTGAAATTTATATCTGTTGTGTCTTGTGTGGCCTTCATTTTCATTTGCATCCATTGAAGAATGTTTCAGTGTAAATGTTGTAATGAAAATATTAGTCCAAATTGATTGATGAATTGTTGTGTCAATTGATAAATATAGAATTGATTAGCAGCATGGCCTGGCGTTGCCCGTGCTTGATTCAAAAATCGTACGACTCATACAGCAATCGCTATCACTTGACTTAAAATATTTTTGCCCTTCCTTGCCTTTAAAGGAGTGTCTTTTGCCGTGCTAATGTTGCTACATGCCTTACTTCTTGCCTATCTCACACTGCGAATTTTTTTCGAAGCTCTATACTAAACATTAAATCTGTTATGAAAAAAGAACTAAACAAAATGAACACAAAACGATCAGCTTTAAAAAAGGACTCGTAACTGGAAAAATCGAATGAAAAAAAAATGTTAACAACAAATACTTTTTCACACCCAACCCAGTTCTGCGGAATCAGAATCAACGTTGAGTTTAAGCAAGCGAATGTGCCAATTGGAGTAAAGTGCCATGCAGATTTAAATTTTTCCCACTTGTGACGAATGCAGCTATCGATTTTTTTTTGCATGATTGTTAAGTAATTGCAGCTATAGTTCACCTTAAAGTAAGTGTTTTTCTATTAAAAGGGTTGTCTATTTTAAAAGGGTTGTTTATTTTCAAAGATCATCAATGATTTAAGATTTGTTTTTGTTTTTCTGATTTGAAAAGATTGCTGATGCCGCTGAATTTTAACAATATCTAATAAGAATATTCATGTATTATTTAGAACTACTATTCCCTTGATTAACATTGATATTATTATAGACATAACGTTTCGACCAAATATTCTTTGGTCATCATCAAGTGTCCGTTTATTGGCTGATATGGGGCATCAGTTGATTACTGCAATATTTTGCCCATGTGAAATCAGTTATTGTTCATTCTTGTTGAATTGGTGTGTCACTACCCTATCAAATGATTAACTCATGACTACTAGATGAGAGTAATACATGTATAACCATCGCCTATATTTACTAGGCAACCGAAGGCCGTTAATGGGGTGTTTTTGGAGCCTTTTATATTCAATGACTTTTTGACATTTGTCTATGATGGCGGGTGACTACCGCTTTTCATAATTTAGTATTTTATTTCTGAGATGAGTAATTGCTAATATTCTTGTATTATTTCAAACTATTATCCTCATCTTGGTTGAAAAAAATATTATTATAGATGATGACCAGTGGGTACTTGGTCGAAACGTTGTGTCACATAATAACATCTATATCAACCAAGATGAAAACAATGATTTGAAATAATACAAGAATAGTGACAATGACTCATCTTAGAAATGAAATACTAAATTAGTGCAGTTATGCTTGTCGCTCTTGTCTACAAAATTCTTTCCTGATTTTTTCATTGCCATATGTTGGACCTTTTGTTCATTGATTCTAGTCAGTCAGTTATGTGCCATGCGTTATACACACTTAGGCAATCATGTATCTTTCAATACATGACTCACAAGGTAGATTTTTTTCCCGTAGTAGACCAGTTGCCATCCAAGGTTGTCCTGCTATTTACCAATAGCTGTGGGAGGGGGGGGAGAAGAAGAGGATTCGTATCTTTCCCAAGGGTATTAGCGCGTAAATGAATGTCATGGATTCGACTGGAATTCGAACTCGGCTCTCCAATTCCTCAATCCGAGCCACTATCCATTACTCCAAGATGATTAAATAATATTTTCTCAATCGCCTTATCAAATTTTATTGCCTTTGTCTTTTCTAACTTTAAAATCGCGTTTCCTTAGATCAAATTCCTTGGGCGTTATTGCCACTAAATTTCTTCTAGTTCATTATTGTTTTTGGCAAACAGTTTTAAATCATCCACATGTGATCAATAAACTTGTTAAATATCTGGTAGACTGTACTCCAAAGACTGAACCATTAGATCACTAGATAGCAATAACACATCTATAACCAACTCCTATATCCACTAGGCCACTGTGTTTCTTTTGTTTTTGAGTATTTTATATCCAATGTCAGAAGGTTTTTGACATTTGGCTATGATGGCGGGTGACTACCGCTTTTCATAATTTAGTATTTTATTTCTGAGATGAATAATTGCTAATATTCTTGTATTATTTAAACTATTATCCTCATCATAATTCATGGACCGATTCATAAAATTTTATTCAATCATCTTAGAATCAATGAGGAGACATGGTGGAGCAATGGATACGGCTCGGATTGAGGAATCGGAGAGCCGAGTTCAAATTCCAGTCGAATCCATTACATTCACTTACGTGCTAATACGCTTGGGAAAGATATGAATCAGCAGGACAGACCAGGTTCTATAGCCTTGGATCGCAACCGGTCTATAGAAGAAAGAAATGGCAACCTACTGCGGGAAAAAACTGTCTCGTCAGTCATGTATCAAAAGATACATGACCGCCTAAGCATGTATCACGTATGGCACTAACTAGAATCAAAGAACAAGAAGTGCAACATGTGGCAATGAAAAATCAGGAAAGTATATTGTAGACAAGAGTGACAAAGAAAACTGCACTAATTTAGTATTTAATTTCTGAGATTCTTGCATTATTTCCGACTTTTGTTCTCATCTTTGGGCGCTTCCACGTAGTGTAATGGTTGGCAATCTTGTCTCGCTAGAACAATTGTGACTGAGTAGTGAGTTCGATCCCCACTGTCTGCTCCATGATCTAGGCCTTGTGCCATATCTAAGTTACTCTTAGTAAATCCCTGTTGTTCTCATCTTGGTTGATATAGAAGATATTATATTATGATATCTACCAATCAATGGATCTAGTAGTAACGTACCAATTCACCAGGAACGAACAACAACTAATATCACAGGAGCAAAATTTCACAAACCAATAAATGGTGACCTGATGATAAGCAAAGTGTACTTGGTCGAAACGCTGTGTCTATAATAACATCTATATTAAATAAAATGATGGCATAGTGCCCCCGCTGTTCATCTCGAGGTCCTCGACAAAATCCAGAGACTTAAATGCAATGTCATAGGTCCTGATCTGGTATCTCGTCTACAGTCACTTTGTCACAGACGGGATGTGATTTCCCTCTGTCTTTTCTACAAGTATTTTCATGACAACTGCTCTGACGAGCTACTTTCACTGGTGCCCCCAACTGCAGGAATTTAAGCGTGTTACTAGGTTGGCATATCGGTCCCACCCTTTAAATATCGAAACAGTTAAATGCAACCGCCTATTCTACTCCAACAGCTTCTTATCACGCACTTCCCGACAATTGAACTTCATACCTCCTTCTTACTTCCCTGATGGCTATAATCTTCAAATATTCAAATGTAATGTCAATCGACGTCTTCTGATGGCGTGATCCTGGTCCCCGTCTTTCTCTATATCCTTTCCTCTCACACCCCCTTTACTCTTGCTCTCACTCTATTTAACCCTTTGCATACTTGTGGCACTCCCGCCTTGCTTGGAGGGAAATGCAAAAAAAAAAAAAAAAAAAAAAAGATGAAAACTGTTGTATCCTTAAAGAGGCTACAAACAGATAAAGGTGGTACTCGAGTGAAGGAACAGTAACACGCGCGTAGATGAAAGAAAAATAGGTTTATTGTAAAAGAGAATACACTACTGAAATACAAGGAATCGGGTAGCAAGCTAGTAATTCCCGAAGCAAGGATATCTACCAACCGCCCCACACGGTCAGATGCGGCACGAGGCCGAGTTTAATGTGGGGTAATCCGAGCCCGTACGCTCGGCCAAAAATTCGCCGTAGACCCTGTATAAAACGGGGGTCGGATAGCTGTTTCCCGAGACGAGACTCCGCCCTTCGACATAGCCTCGTCTGGGGATCCTCTCCAACTAATTCCTGAAACAAGAGTATTTACCTTACCTCCCCGCGAGGCAGGATGTGGCACAAGTCTGTTATTTAATGCGGAGCAAAACCGAGCCCGTAGGCTCCGGCAAAAAATCCCCGTAGACCCTGTATACTCGGGGTTGGGTAGCTGTCTACCACCCAAGACGAGACTCAGCCCTTCAGCATAGCCTCGTCTGGGTTCCTCTCTGCCCAAAGGTAGAGAGCTCGACCAGCACAGCTCGAGACGAATCCCCAACTAATTGCCGAAGCCAGCTCAGGTATATTCTGTGC